GAGCTAGGGGGTAGGGTAGAGCTAGAGGAGGTAGATAATTAGGCTAGCTAGCCTAGTAATTCACAACCCCCTAAGTAGACACCTCTAGCGTAGGTACTAAGCACAGCTAGCTTAGCACAAAGGATCTATATAAAGTCCCCTAAGCTAATAGGGCTCTAAACTCCTAAACTAACACTAGAACTAAACTTTAGTATAGGAAACAAAGGATCTATATAGGTTATAGATTAGGGTCTTACTACCTAAGATAGTAGTAATCTAACTTACTTTAACGCTATAATAGGTAGCTCCTAGGAAAGACCTAGAGGGGAGAGTGCTATTAGTAGGTCACTCTATAAGAGCACGGAGATAGGTAAGGGCACCCTATCTAGCTCTTATAGGGGTGGTAAGCAGAGCTCCTACCTACCCGCTTTAGGACTAGATTCTGTATCTCCTGCAGATCCCTTATAAGTAGCACCTAGAGCTCCTAGAAGAAGTAGAAAACTGCAAGTTAAAGGACTACCACTAACGCGTGTTAGTAAGCGAGCTTAGGGACAGGACCCTAATAAACTACTAGGAGGCTCTATAAGTATAGGGATATATATAGTAATAGATCTATTAGATATAAATCTAATTAGAAATCCCTTATATAATCTTTTAGTATATCCTAAACTAAACGCTATAATCCACGCTGTGATTGCAGCAGCAATAGGGAGTAAATCTCCTAAAAACCCTAAAAGGAATACGCACTAGGACGCTCTACAAAAAGAGCTAAAATAATAGAAGGATCTCTATAACTACTAAATAGGATAGCAATTTAGAGACGTAGTATATAAAGAAATTAATACTCTACTAAAAGCTAGTACCTAGGAGGAGATTAATAGGCTAACTAAAGGAGAGCGTCTACTCCTACTTAAATAGGTGTTTATATACAAGCTTAATTAGGATAGTTACCTAATTAAGTGCAAAGCAAGGATAGTAGTAAGAGGAGATCTATAGCTTACTAACTTAATTTATTTAACCTACGCAGCTACCCTAGCAGCTTAAACCTTTAGGACTATAATAGCTATTAGAGCTAAGTTTAACCTTAAGATATATTAATATAACGTTATTAGAACTTTCCTTAACGCCTTAAGGGATTAACACCCTATAGTTATCTATAAGCTACCTAAAGGATATTAAATACCTAGGAAGTGCGTTAAGCTTAAACGAGCTCTATATAGATTAAAAGACTTACTATTATTATAGTATAACAAGCTCTTAACTACACTCTAAGAAAATAAGCTTATTGCTTCTAAAGAGGAGCTATGCCTGTTCTTTAATAGAGATTGCAGTATCTTGTTGATATTCTATGTGGACGATATCCTATCGCTCTATTACTAAAACTACGCAAGCTAAGCTTATAAAGTTATCCAAGCTCTAAAGCAAAGATATACTATAGAAGAGAAGGGACCTGTAAGCTGGTTTCTAGGGGTAAGAGTAATCTAGGATAGAAAGAGATAGATAATAACGCTTGTTTATAATAAATACATTAACAAGATTGTAAAGAAATTTAATCTAGTAGAGATAGGAAAATTCCCTGCTACACTACTATTAAGTAAAGATATTAAAAAGAGCACTAGAGAAGCTACTAAAAAGGAGATTAAGGACTATTAGGAGCGCGTTAGATTAATCCTTTACACCTTAATTATAGTGCGCCCTAATATTACCTATGCAGCCTCCTAGCTCTCCTAATACCTTACTAACCTATCTAAACAACACTTTAATGCGGTTAATTAAGTAATTGTCTATCTATACTAAACTTAATACTAATTAATCTAATATAGGAATAGGGATCCTAATAAGCTTATAATATATAGTAATGCGTTATTTGCTAATAATATTAATACTTAGCAATTATTATATAGATACCTAATTACGCTCTTTAGAGGACCTATTATTTAGAAGGTAGCTTAATAATTAACTATTACTACTTTAACTACTAAGGTAGAGCTCCTTGCGCTTAAGTAAGTAAGAAAAGAAGTAATAGCGTTAAAACGCTTTTTAACTAAAATACACCTTACTTTAGATACTACCTAGATAATTAATTGTAATAATTAATAAACTATTAGGTTAGTAGTAGGTAATAATAAAAGGATCACTACTAAGCTACGCTATATAGATATTTAAAATATATGGCTTAGGCAAGAGTATATAAAGGGATCTTTCTACATTACCTACCTACCTACTAGTAATATACTAGCTAATAGGCTTACTAAAAACCTAACTATATAATAATTTATAAGGTTTAGGGAGCACCTAAAGTTATATAATAGTAGAGTATATATTATATAGCGTTAATTAAAGTAAGGTAGTATATAAGATCTATTAATATATAATATAAAAATAACTAACTATAGCCTACCTCTCTATTATTAACTAGGTAGCTTCCCTAAGGAGCTTTATTATACGCGTAAAGCGTGCCTTAGAGTCTATAGGGAGCTACCTAGGTTGCCCTATCCTAGGATCTATAGGGGGAACCTTAGAGGAGCTAGAGTCCTTATCTTCTAATAAGGAGCTCTAGGCGCCCTTAGCTGTAGAAGTAGCCTTGCGCGCAAGCTTAGCAGCAGTAGCAGCAGCTTTTACTAGCTCCTACTACTTAGCCTTACTCTCCTTAAGGAGCACTAAGACCCTCCTCTTCTTATCTTTAAGAAGGTCTTAGCTCTTACCTACCTACTTCCTTACTAGAAAGGATAGCATAGAGCGTTAGGCAAGCTTAGGGCTATTAGTTTATTAGTATAAGATCTTACTAAGTATTATAAAGGAAAAATTCTTATATAGATTATATATATTAGGATATAGCTATACCTAGAGGAGCACTACTAGCACTAAGTCCCCCTACTAGAAGAGTTATAGCACTTGCTATTAGACTTATTAAAGAGCGCTAAGCGTAGATAATTTAGATAAGTTTTAGCACAACAAATACTAGGCTCTTTATAGTAGGAGGATCTTAGGGTCTCCTTAGGAGCTAGAGAGGGAGCAGGAGCAGGAGCAGGGGCCTTAGGAGGGGTCTAGGGAGGAGCAGGAGCTAGAGTTAGAGTTAGAGCTAGAGTAGTAGGAGCTAGAGTAGGAGCACCCTTCCTTAGCTTTACAATCTTAGCTATAGCAGCAGTAGCTACACGCTTAGCTACTACACACTCTACTATAGCCTTACGCTTAGTAGTAGCGCGCTCTTCTTTAGTAGTAGTAGCTTTAGTAACTGTAGCTTTAGCTACGCAGGAGGTAATAAGGGCAGCGCAGGTAGAGTAAGCGTAAGTAGCAGGTTTTAACTTTAACTAAGATAGGTTAGCAGGGATATAGGTATAGTTTAGATCTTTAGGGTTAGATAATCTTATAACTTAAGCTATAGTAAAGATTATAGTTAGGTAGATAGAGTTATAGAGCTCTATCTAGATAATATCTACGTGCGTAAGCGTAGGCTAAATAAGGAAGGCGCGCTAGTTAGTATCTAAAGGGTAAGCTAATTTAACCCTTTAGATATATAACACTCTAATTAGCTATACTACCTACTAACTATAAGCGTAACTACAATAATAAAAGATCTACCTACACCTAGGGGGTGTGTTATAGAAGGGATATTAACTAGATTATAGAGTATCTTAATCCTAATTAATCCTAATTAATCCTAATTAATCCTAATTAATACCCCTGTATAACCCACTATCTAATTAACTGCTAGCTTACTGCTAAGTGCCTAATAAAAAGCAGGAGCTCTAGTAAGGAAGGTTTACTAATTATTTACCTTCTAGTAAGGGTAGCTAAAGCTCTATATATATAAGTACGATCGTAGTAGATATAATCTAATAATCCATCTCCTAAATCATTCCTAACCTTAGTGATCCAAATTTCCACATTACTCTATTCCTACTAACGCGCGTTAGCCACGTCCTAATATAGGCCTACTATTTTTGCCTTAATAATATTAATTATTAATACTACCTATTTTTTAATTTTTCTCTGCCCTCCTTATACTTAGAGAAATATCCTCTTAGTTATATGCTACTAGGCCCTCCCCTTTACTAAGATAAGATAAGTTCCCCTTAGGCTTTGCTATTTAAACTAATAGGGAGAGTAACCTATTTAAACAAGGAGAAGTAGGAGGGGCAAGGTTTAATAGTAGTAATCCTATAGTAGAGGATATAGGTTTAATATAGAAATATAAGTAAAAAGATAATATTATAGAGTTAAAGTAAAGTCTGTAGGAGTTATGCTTATCCTATCCTCTAATCCTTTATACCTTTATACTATTTAATCCGCCTAACTTTTTAGGCTAAGCCTTGTTTTTCTCCTATATATCCTATACCACGGCACACTACTACTCTAGTATATAATTGCTATACAAGTACACCTTTAAGTAGAGCCTATAAAAGTCTTATTTAACATGTTAAAATATATGTAAACGCGATAATAACTAGGGCACTTAGGGGTAGCAATTATCTGTAAGTAGTGGTGCGGCTAGATTGCACCTGCTTTGAAGGTTCTAGCTTCACTAGATTCGTCAGTCATAGACTGTATTAACATAACTATATATTACAACGAGGAAAAATACTCTTTATAGATTGTCAATCGGGCTCCATGGTGTAGTGGTTATCACGTCAGTTTTACATGCCTTGCTGCGCACTGAAGGTCGGGAGTTCGATCCTCCCTGGAGTCAATTTTTTGTTAGACGAGAACAGTCGAAGCGAAAACAAGCTGCACATTAAAATTCAAGACAGGAAACTCAGGTGACATTTTATGTGATTAATCCTTTGCTAATTGCGAACTTTTTTTTTGGTATTAGACTGTCACGCAAGCATTGTTCTAGAGTAAAGAGGTTAAGGCAGACAGTACCGGTAGCTAGCAGTACAATCAGGGGGGGGACTGTAATGCGTCGCTGATATCATCGCCATCAACCCACCTTAACTCCGGCGAACCTCAGGCCCAACTCCGCCCATCTCAGTCTTAATCATCCTAACCCTCCCCAACCATTCACCACCTATTCAAAAATGTCTCAGGTGCTGTTTACAAAAGCGCCTATTCTGCGCACCTGCTCTCGGCGCTCAATCTCGCGCATCGCTCAATCCTCTTATCACAGCAGCTCCGGCTCGAAAATGCAGGCCGGCAGCGCACCCCTCCGCACTTTGTTCCGCCAGACCACTCTCCGCGCAACTGCCATAGCCGCCCAACGCACCTCCTACCCTCTTACCCAGCAATTCTCCCAGCAACCGTTTTCCCAGCACCGCCCACGAACTCCCTCACCGCCACCCCCCTACCAAGCCCGCAACATCTCCCTGCTAGCCAGCACATCGCAATGGACGCGCTTCACCACGCCCAGCAACACGCTCTCGTCTGTGCGCACCTTCACATCCTCTTCAAAGACCACCTTTGCCTCGGAAACTACATCCACGGCACCACATCCTAGTCTCGCGCCCGACGCTCAAGCTGCCGTTGATACGGCGATTGAAGAGATTAGCGACTTGTACGGCACCGCGAGAGACGAGTTTGAGATTGCGAGTGAGGAAAGCGAGAAGAACACCATGTATGCACCGGACGACCGGGCAGCGGCGAGGGAGGAGCTGGACAAGTTGTTGGCATATTACAAAGGCGTGCTTGAGGGAGACAAGGTGGTTGGGGATGAGGTGAAACGGAGAGTTGGGGGGAGAATAAGAGAATTGGAAAATGCGGTCGTGGCCATGGAGGAGAAGGCGCTCGAGCATGATTAGAGGGGTCACAAGTTCTGTATCATAGGCAGCTGCTACCTACCTATCGTGTACATAGGCCCGATTTACACACTTTCATGTATTTCTAACACACACTCATATATATATATATATATACATGACATTTCAAGGTTTCTAGCTGATGGAAGGTCCCTCCAGACGTGTATGGAATTTGTATACTGGCTTCTTCTCTCTAATGTACAGCGGGGTAGATAGATGGCCTTCAATGTGCTCAATGCTTTACTCCCAGTTGTCAAGATAGCAATACAAAAAACACAAAAATCCCACCATGGCTCCAATACAATGTCAAGAAGCTAAACGCCGGCCTAACAAAATAAGCCTTCCATCCTCAACAAGATCTCGGCTTTGGCATAGAACTATGCTTGACACTCCACCCCTGCATCGTTCTCCTCGTTCCCAACGTCTTCCTCTGCGCACTTTGATTCTGCAATTGATTCATAGACGTAGTATGGAAGGTAGATGCTGCTCGAGTGCCTGTACCCATATTTGCTGAAGGTCCCGTCTTCTCGCCCTCCATCCCTCCATGAGCACATTCATCAAAGTTTGGTTGTACGGGCGAACTGGATAAGAGGACGTAACATTTACTTTCAGCTTCTTCCTCGCGGTCTCCTTTCTTGGGTTTTTTGAGAATCGGGCGGGTTTGTAACTTGTGTGTGGGAAGGGAGAGAGGTTGATATGCTCGTGGGGCTGTGGGTTGAACGTTGGATATCTCGTGCAACACCATGTCCGCATCCGCGCCCGCAGACACGGAAGAGTGTGAGCGTTGATAATTTTGCATAAGAGGGGGTGATGCATTACCCTTGGGTTCCTCAGACAACGTACTCCCGCATCGTTTGAAGAAACTGGTGATAGCGTTTTGACCAACCGCTCGTGGCTTCGACCTCTTGGTTCGCGCGGTCTTCGCATTGGAGGACTTGATCTCGCCGAACGCGCTCTTTTCAGGTAGTTTGCTGAGGCCGGGAGTACTAGCGAGCATGCGTATACGCTCTGCCTCTTGCTGCATGGCCTGGAGATCACCTAGGTCGCGGGCACTCGTGAATCCACCCTTCGCGGCATGCATTGTCGTTGTTGCAGTGGAGAAGGTGGAGGCTTGGTGCATGCTCACTGATACTTTCACACTCGTACACGAGTCGTATGTTTTCGTCTCAACTTTCCGTCGTTTGAACAAAGGCTGGTCCGTATCGGTGCTTGGACCAGTACTACCAAATTTGTCATCGTAAGACGCACCCCATCGCGAACTATCATCGTCAATCTCTTCACGTGTGGCGGGGTATTTGTCGTCTTCCAGGCGCTCCAGGAGGCTGTGGGTGGCCATGATATCTGCAGGCTCAGGGCAAGGCCTCCGAAGTATGCCGGCTAGATTTGGGATTGCGCTGCGATTAAATGCTAGGTCTGGACCTCGATCCCTGAATAACTTCTGTAATTTTCGATCAGAGACGAATCGTGAGAGCGTGGTTTGTTCCTGGCCTGACTGCCTTACTGGGCAACTCAAATAAAGCAGACCCTGTGCGCGCGTCATTCCAACATAAAGTAGTCGTCGTTCTTCATCCTGGTCTTCTGCTCGCGAGTGAGGGATGGAGCCATCATACATGGCTGGTAAGAAGACCACTGGCCACTCCAAACCCTTTGCTGCATGTATTGTGGAGATGGTGACCTGGTTCAAGTCACCGCCTTCTTGATCTGCGGCACTTGAAAGTGTCACGTTCGCGAGAAACTTAGAGAGAATGTCGGCAGCACTATCCTGGCGCTGCTCCACGCCCTCGACGACTGGTAGCGCGTCATCGATTATCTCTTCGCCGTTTGCGGCTGCTGTGGCCATTTGCATTGCCTGGGCTACCAGCTCTTCCACATTTGCCCATCGATCTTCCCAGTTCTCTTTATGCATTTGCCTGAGGTAAGCCTGAAACGAGATCTTTTGCAGGACGTGACTAATAAGGCCCAGAAGATTACAGTCTTCACCCTCTCCCGGCAAAAGCTTCTGGCGACTGGTCAGGATTATGTTGACAAATTGCTCCATGCCCTTTTGTGCTTGCGCAGACACCATGGTTTGTGGCTTTCGTCTGCCCTGTGCAGTTTCGAGTACTAAGCTCCATAGGGTGATGTGACGAGTCTCTGCCTCTTCGAGCAAATTTTTGATAGTCACATCCCCAACTTTTCGGGACGGCACATTGATGATACGGGCCACTGCATCGTTGTGGTCCGGCTGGCTGATCACGCGCAGGTAGTCTAGAACGATGCGTATCTCAGCACGATCAAAGAACTTCGTGCCAGCAACCATACGATAGGGGACGCCGGCTTGTCCCAATGCTCTCTCGATCTGAAGCGAGAGTTGAGAAGACCGCAGCAGGATAGCGTAATCGCTATACTCAAGCAAACCAGCAGTAAGAGTCTTGGATCGCTGGATCTCTTCGACGATCCACTTCGCCTCCACGAAAGCAGAGGCTAGATGACGAAGAGTTGGCTGCTCCCCAACGCCATGTGTGGCAATTAGTGACTTTTGCGGCCGATGTTCGTCTTGCTCAATAACTGCCATGGCTGAGGCAAGGATCCGGCCTGAAGAGCGGTAGTTGTTTTCAAGATGGATAACGATCGATTCCGGGTAGTCAGCACGCATGCGACGTAGATTCTCAATCTCGGCAGATCGAAAACTATAGATGCTCTGGTCTGGATCGCCTACGATGGTGATACGCCTGGTACTCTGTGCTAAAAGCTGCATGAGCTCGTATTGTATGTTGTTCGTGTCTTGGTATTCGTCAATCAAGACAGCCTGGATGGTTGAAACGCATGATGGCGATTTTTTGAGCAGTTCCACGCATCTCACAAGGAGATCGTCGTAATCCAAGAGGTTGGCAGCTTTCAGATGCTCCTGGTAAGATGAGTAGACCAAGGCAAACTCATTGTCGTTGACAGTTTTGGAGGTATTCGTGAAGTCGTCTGCCGATATGCCTTTGGCTTTCAGTTTTGAGATGCGAGAGCGAGCATTTCCTGGCTCCACAGTGTAGTTATAGCGCTTGATAATGCGTTTGATTATTGCCGAGCTGTCGCTGGCGTCTGCAATTCCAAAATTCTTGTCGATGCCAATCTCCTGGCCATATCTAGAAAGGAAGCGTCGGGCAACAGAATGGAAAGTTCCCAGAATCAATTTTGCCTCCAGTTTGTCGCCCACAAAGCCCTTGATCCTATCTTTCATCTCCTTGGCGGCCTTGATCGTGAATGTGCAAACGATAATGTTCCATGGCTGAAGTCGTTCATGATTAATGTGGTACGCAACGCGTGCTGTAAGTGTTTTCGTCTTGCCAGAGCCGGGAGGCGCCAACACCTGCACGACATTCGCCGGGCTGGTGACCGCGTTCTTCTGGGCATGATTGAGCCCTTCCAGCAAAGCGTCCATGAGTACGGAGAACCGCGTCGCTTCCCATGTCGAGTGGCGGTTGACGGATGCGTGGCGCGAACAGTGAACCATGTACCTAGGTGTTAGCGTGGACGCGTCCAACGCGCCTGCACGTGATGATAAGATAAGCAGAAGCTTTTCTCTGGACAGCCAAGTGGACCTATTTATACAATTGCTTCTGTGTAGAAGCTTACGATTTTCTGAGCGCGTTGCACAAAGTATGACAGACTTTCAAGCCGTTACCGATCGTTTTTTAGCCTGGTTCAAGTCAGTTGGTGGTGAATTCCGTGATGACCTATCAAAAATCAGCGACCTTCGCAGCCAGGACGCTGGCAGGGGCATTGGTTAGTTGCGATGGGCCTCAGATAGGGAGGCATTCATTGATGTTTCTCAGTTGCCACAAGGGATATCCCAGCAGAAACCACGTTATTTACCATCCCAAGAAATGCCATCATCAATGTCGAGACGTCAGATCTCGCAAGGCTACTTCCGGGTATCTTCGATGGGACACTGAATGATGCGGAAGATGAGAAAGCAGAGCCCCTGGACCCATGGGCTTCATTAATCCTAGTTATGCTTCGCGAATACTTGCACGGCGAGCAATCTTACTGGAAGCCCTATATCGACATTTTACCAACTAGCTTCGATACACCAATCTTCTGGACCCAAGATGAATTAAAGGAGCTAGAAGGCACAGTTCTGACAGCCGAGAAAATTGGTAAATCGGAAAGCGATGAAATGCTACGCACACATGTTCTTCCTATAGTCACGCAGAACCCTACTGCATTCTGTCCAAAAGGCGCGATTCCATTAAATGAAGAAGACCTGCTTGCGCTTGCACATCGTATTGGCAGTACGATAATGTCATATGCGTTTGATCTCGACGATGACAAAGAAGAGTCTGATGCTGAAGAAGAGGGGTGGGTCGAAGACCGCGATGGGCTTACTATGCTGGGCATGGTGCCGATGGCAGATGTCCTCAATGCGAATGCAGACTTCAACGTACGTTGCTTACTTTTACTTCTATAAATGAGTAGCCCTAACTGTGTACCTCGTAGGCGCATGTGAACCATGGCGAAAAGTTGGAAGTTACGTCGCTGCGTTCTGACATACGAGCCGGCACGGAAATCTTGAATTACTATGGTCCTCTTCCGTCCTCTGAGCTTTTGAGACGCTACGGCTATGTTACACCAGAACACCACCGATATGACGTTGCTGAAGTATCCTGGGAGCTTGTGCGGAGTACTTTAGTAGCGCACTTGGAGCTTTCTGATGGTATCTTGCAAGCCGTAGTAAGCCCATCACCTCCCCCAGAGTAGTCCATAGTAACATACTTTCTACAGGAAACCCAATTAGGCGAGGATGAACTGGAAGACTACTTTGTTCTTGAGCGCGATTCTGGAGAGCCTTCCGATGAGGGCCGTCTTGTCCAGCCTCCCCAGACTTGCGAGGTTCCTACAGAGCTGAGCGAACAATTAAAGACTATTTTGAAGGCTTTGAAAAAGCAACAGCCTGAGCTCATTGGAAGCGCCGTGAGGCGTGACGAGATTCTCCATGCTGTCATTGGAGAAGCTCTGAACCGTAAACTCTCCGAGTATGCCACATCTGTGGAGGAGGACGAAGAACTGCTAGAAAACAGCAGCTTAACGAAGAGACATCGTCTCGCGATTGAAGTAAGGTTGGGTGAGAAGAGGCTACTTCATGAGGTGAGGGCGTCTGTGATGGAATTTTGCAAAGATAATGAGAGCAAGGCAAGGGAAGAAAGGCCGACGAAGCGGATCAAGATGAAAGCATAGCATGGGAAGTTCATCTCATGTCCATGGACAGTCATGACTAATGTATACTATATTTAAAGCTCCTTTGTGGTCCGTGTATATCGGTGGCCCTGTCCCCCGAGTACCTACCCTTGCCATCAAACGCATCATGCCCCGGTCTGCAACGTATGTATTCGAGGATACAGTCTAGTTCTCGCCAGATTGACAGTCATATTGCCATTGGATCGGTTTGTTAGCTCTCATACAGTATCCCCAGTCTCCTCTCTACCTCCTCCAGGGTAGCTTTGACCTCGTCAGACCCACTACTAACATTTAATAAGCCAAGCAAATGACGCATGAAATGTGGCGAGCGGCCTGCGTTTCTCAAGGTGCAGTTCGTCCTTGGATTGACTCTATACCGATCGTGATGTGCGCTTGGAGGTTGCCGTACGGCTGCTCGAGAGGCAATCCGAGAACTACGTCTCAAAGTTGCTTGTGGATATATGCGCTCTGCACTCGCCCGTGGCTGTTCGTCTGTTGCGGCATGATTGGCCACGGTCACGTGAAACCACAAGTTGCGACACAAAGGACATTTGTTCCTCCATGGACCCTCACCCTGGAGGTGTTTTTCAAGACAGATTCGCCCGAGGATATGCCCACAGCATCTCCGCAGCCCAGACTGTTCCGCGATCATATCGATTCGGACCGCCCACTCTCCAGCGCCGTCAGCAGGCGACGGTCCACCTCGAACAGGCTCTACATAGGGCTCGAGACATATCGGGCATGTACGGTCGCTCACAGCCAGACCTGCAAGCTGCATTGGAGTTGTGAACAGGGCGCCATCATTAGTTGTGCATGTGGTGTTTGTCGCCATCGAGCATGGGATGACTGGCGAGGCACTCGGCCGTGAATTTAACTGATGCCTTCTTCCAATGTGAGTTCCTAGGGTAAATCAAGCAGTGACGTGTACTATGGTGATGTTGAAATGGTGTTCGAGGTTGCAAGGAGCGAGGCACATTGGATAGGAATCGGAATAGAAGGGGGCATTCGTCAAAAGGTTTGTTGAAGAAGTTGGAACCGGCGGCCATTCACACAAGTTTGCAACATGTTTGTTCGCAGCGTTTGGGTCAGAGATGTGAAGAACATGAAATGGTCAGGAGGCGGAGCAGATCATTGTGACTTTGCATACTTGGCTCTCTACTCAGATGCGAGTGTTGTGTTGTTGGAAGGTCGGGACAAGGCAGGTGACGATGGCGATGGTGGTCATGGTGGCGATGATGTCGTGTCGCGAGCGTTGTTGCTCGCATGGCCTGTTTTGGAAATCGCTCTTTCCACTCTGAGCAATGCGGTGCGGGGCTAGCGTTGCGCTAAGCGATAGGCGATAAGGTACACGTGAAGTACCCAGCCGGCCTGGGATACGTGGTATTCACTCTTCACCCCACCTATGCCTAGTCACAGAACCCGTCCTTCTTCTCCCTCTCTCTCCCCTTCACAATCATCTCTCCGTGGCCGGTGTTGGGACTGAGACTGGGAACTGGGACTGGGACTTGGGACTTTGGGAAATGGATGGATAGACGACTACATAGTACTATACGGGCCCATGGTCACACAGCGGTATGGACCAATGGCCAATCACCGACCATGTTTACTGAGGGGCTAGTTACCTAGTGCGGCTAAGCTTGGCAGGCAGCGTTGCAACACCAGTTGACCTCGACCCAGCCTCTTTGCCTCACTTCAACTCTTTCTTCTTGCCCATACCTAAAGCTTGCAGCGCAGACACATACACACACACACACACACACACACACACACATACTCTCTCTCTCTCTCCCCCCAGACCAGCTCACGCTGTTCCCTATATCCAGCGGCGTCGTGACAAGATTCACACCCTGTCACCGCTTGCTACTTACACCAACTGACCGTTTCTGAAACAGACAAATAGGCAGTCGACATGAGCACCTCGTCAGAAACATCCGGCTCAGCGCCAAAAGAAGACGAGGATACTCAATCCGCCAGTAGCCATCAATCGACTTCCATGCAACTCCAGCTAGCACAGGACAACAAGAAAAGCAAGCGCTATGTTGCACCTCAGCCAGACGCCCATACCTTCGCATCTCAGCAGGAGTTCCTGGACAGCCTAGCACCCATCACAGTCGATCAAGTGGAGAATGACAACCTCAAATGCCCAATTTGTTGGAAAGTCTACTGTGAGGCTCCCGACCCCGGCTACAACAATTCCGAGCTACCAGTCAGACTGAAGTGCCAACATGTCTTCGGCCAGAAGTGCTTGGCCACCACCTTCGGCATGCCAGAGGACTCGAGGAGGGAACTACGCCCACTTTCTTTCTCCCCTGGTTCACGCGGCGCAGCACTCGGTCACCGACTGCACACATACCTAACTGAGCATGCCCATGGCTTTGAGGACAAGCATGACGGCCTGCACAACGTCGCCCAAGCGCTCTCCCAGATGATGCAAGATGCACATGTACCTGGCCAAGGCATCCTACTTTTTGGTGATTTCTGGTGGCCGATACTTCAGCTCATTGGAAGCCCTGCGACTCGTTCCCGTAGGCAAATCACCTTCATGGAGAATGCCGTGATCCTGGATCATGGCCTGACGTCAGATCTTTGGACGACTACCTCTTCGGCTCCCGGAGTGCCCAAGCCTGCAGCTGTTTCGTGGCAGAGTGCAGACTGGAATCAGCCTTTGGGCCAAGCCATATCTGCTTTCCCGACCTTCACCACTCAAGTGTCCAGCTCCAGCAACAAGGATATAGCTGCTGATACGCTTCCAGGATCGAGCGCTATTATGCCATCACTCTCAAACCACAGCGCCAACAAACCGACTCAGCAGGCTGTATTCCCACTTGCGATGCAATGGGGACCGCATTCGACCGGCTTGCCGCCGCCTGATAATTTGCTTTACACCTCAGGCCCAAATCCGGCAGGAGTGTATGATTTGCCCCCGGGCGTCATGCCTTACTCCTACAACCACTCATCGCTAAAGTGGAAAGATGCTTTAGCTGCAGAGACAAACATGGACAAGCTCACAGCTCTAAAAAAAGCGGCAAAGCAGGCTAGCACGGCAAATAAATCGTCTGTAAAGGCTGCGGAACCAACGAACAACGAGCTTGACGACAAACAGGAGCGAATAAAGCAAGAAAGTATGTGTACATGGACCCCAGACCCCGTGAAATTGCGATCGCATCCTTCAGTGAAGGGAGCACTAGTACTTCCCCCGTAATAACTGCCGTTACTAACTCTCCACTAGGAGAACAGAAGCGTCTCGTCTCCAGGATAAGCAGCACTATGTCTTCAGCCTTGGCGGAATTGTATGCACGGTACATCAAAGAAACGTCTGAACGCGGGCCTAGTCTACGGATGCATCGAAGACCTAACTTGGTATCTGTATCTGTCCGAGTGCACGAACGTGATGCAATGGCATCTGAGTATAAAATTCCGTCGCCCCGGCCTCACCCCTCATACTACAACAACGAAGACGAGGATGAGGACGAGGAAGAGGAAGAAAAGGACGAAGATGACGACCAGAAACTGGATAACGACCTTTCGATGCTATTCTTCGTCATTACACGCACGCCATGTATGAGTCCGTGTTGTGTGGTCGCAGGGAAGGAGCGAACAAAAAGACTGCCAGTCCCGAGGGCGGTGCGATGGCGAAACGATGAAAAGGTCCCTGATGGCTGCCCAGTCTGTCACAAAGTTTTATTCTTGAAAAGTGAGGCAGATCATCGCGGTTATATATCTGCTCCTGGTAACTATGATGGCTGGCTGGCTTTTGCAGGATCGGATGAAGGACTCTTCGATGTTGGTGTGTGAGATGATCAAGTGGCAGGCAAGGATTCTCAAAATCTGTCTTGGATGCTAAAGCATACTGCTGTAATTGATGGAGCGATTATTCTCGCTCTAGGATACTTCGTCACTGGAATGGGATGTTACTATCCACGTGGGTCGCTCAAATATAGGATTAGCAAAACGCAGGGAATCCTATTTAACGAGTATAATGGGGGTAGGGCTGCTTATGGAACACAATAATGGAAGATTCATCGTGCAACACTATTACTAGCGGAGAACATCATTCATCGATTTTGATTCACCTTCACTTGTAATCTCACTTCGACTTTGCATCTCTCAAAATCCCACATGATTTTTTCATGCGGAAATCACCTTCCACATAGAGTCATTTTCGTTAGAGCGCTCATGATCTAAACCAGTCTAGATTTGCTAAACATATTTTTTGTGTATTACAACCGCTGCTCACTCTCCTGCCCAAATCACATTGCACATTATTACGAACATGCCGTCCGGACAGAGTTTTATTTCCAGTACCTACGGCGCATACAACTAAAACCACTACTATAAAGATTGAACAGAGCGCAGCGACGTCAATAGTTTATGTGTCAGACAGAACTCAAAGTAGTCTGCCTTCACCTTTACCGTCCTTACTCTGTTACGTCGACCATGATCTTATGCAAACCGTTGCACTACACAATCGGCCGCCTCATCCAGCCGTCGAATTTCCCGTCTGCAACACTCACTGGAGTGCTCCTATCTTAGGATCGAAAATTGCTAATACGGCACTTTGGACTCCGGATGCCTCAATATCGGCATTCCTGCCCCTCAGCCCTTGCAAGCACTGGCTTCACTACCGCTGCTTCATCGCTCGCGCATACGACCCTTGGAACCCTTACAAAAACAAATTTCCAGTCTGCAACATGCAGATCTACCACTGGGACGGTATTACTGTGCTCACAATCGCCACACGCACTGGTTTCACGCTCGTCGATACAAACCCGCACGTTCACTGTATCACTGCGCACCAACTCGACTACTCCTTCCTTCCATCTGCCGACACAGCAGAGTATCTATCTGAGTGCATAATTGTTGAAAATCTCATACGCCACGTCTTCTTCGCTTATTTGGGCATTCGATGCAAATATGCAGATGGAAGTCCAGATGTAATACAGCGTACTATGATGTGTTGACTGAGTTGGACAAGAGACAATTGCCAAAGTCAAAGTGGTTAAGGCGGAGTACGCAGATGGGAGCTCTGTTGTTTGGGATGCTGGTCGTTATCAAGATGACGAGATTTCTGGTGGAGGGACAGGGCGGTATCTTGAGGACAGAAGCGTGGAGAGTATTTAAAGATGGGGGGAGGTACAAAAGCTGGCGGAGTGAGGTGATATGCAATCAAGGCTATTGTGGCCGGGCTATAGGACTTGCATGGAACAGATGTGTGAAGCGGGTTTTGTTTATCTTGATTTAGTCATTCCAAATTTCGAACATGAAAAGTCATGAAAGTGCAAACGTCCTCATGTCCCATCTCAAAGCGCCGAAACATCGTTCTTTACTCCGAACACACATCTCACTCTGTTTGTCGGCCAGGTCCAAATTGAAGTTACTCATCTCTCTGCTTGCTCTGCTTCCCAGCAACTTCTCTTTTATCCTCGCTGCTTTGGATCTCGCAAAGCGCCTGTCTTATCACTTTTTTTCTACCCAGATTTTCCAGAGAATGTATGCAATGATCATCATCAAGGCATATATCACACCAGCAATCAACGCTACGAAGTGATAGAGGCGCAGCGCTTCGATTTGTTCCGTAGTGGAAAACATGGCCGGGTGTTTGTTAGTTGAATAATAGGCCAAGATAAAACTCTGTCGAAGCTACAGATTTACGAGGGTATTCACAGGGGACACTGATGAGCAAGGATTGTGGAGTTGTGGTGATTCGTTGAAGCCATGTGTAAAGTAGGTCGGGCTGAAGCGCTATATGTGAAAGAAGAGATAAAAACCGGTTTGTTGTTTGTCAGAAAAGCATCTTTGTGGTGATTGTGGCTGGTGATTACCGAAGAGGTTGCGACTTGCTCCAATGATCCTATCAACTAGAATGTACCATGATGATAATTCTGGAGCAGAACGGAGTGGGATGATTAGATACTTCACCAGCTGATGTATAGTCGTTGTTTCATCCACGCCTATTACCAAGGGTGATGTTGACATGTAGCTGATTCTTTGATCTCATTCTATAATTTCGCGGGCATCGTTTCATATCAGGTATGAAGTTTTGCAAAGGAAATTTGATACTTGCTCTAGACTTTTAATATTTATCTTGACAAAAATTACAGGGAAGATTCAAAGCTTATAATCATGAACTTCTGCACGGAAAGGCACAACGAGAAGTTCGTGGCCGTGAAATTAATACTCGAAGTCGTCTTTCGGCAGACTGTACCTTCCTCACCCTATTTATTCTCAATCTTTTCTATTCCACCCTGAATTTCTTCGACTCACTGTTGTCGCATTTGCCTCTCGTAATCAGTCATCAAACTCCATCTCACCCATATATTGCCTTGACAGAGCCAGCGAATAATGCATCTCGCACACTCGCTGATCTCTTCCTCCACACACTAAGACGATGAAAATGATGTCGAAGATAATGTAAAGCCCGAGGATTAAATAGGATGGATTCAGATTAAGTGTTATGCAAATGTGAATGAAAAAAAGGAGGGATGTCTAGACCTTTATGTACTGGAAATAAACAACGTGTTGTAATTGCCGTTTGTGATTTTGGATAGCTACTTTGCGGGTACGTAAAAGAGTGTGTGGGTAAAACATACTCTATTGACCGTTTACAGAACAGCATTGAAACTTCTCCCACCATTTTTAGCCAAAAGTCAGCAAAAGAAGAAATGACGTAAGGAAACACAAGTCTCGCGGACCAATGGGTGTAGAAAAACCATAGTGAGACCATTTTCGCAAACCTACATGAGAAGAGAAGTGCCCTCGCATAATTCAATTGCTTGTGGTAGCCATACTAAGTGGGAGCTTCGCTCAAGAGCGAATACAAGTAGACAAGAGACAAGATGTATAGGGCCTTTTGCTTTGGGCTATGAAAGCAGACCTTGTAGGTTTAATTATCTGCTGCAGTAGTTTTCGTATATAAGCTATCATGTGAAGAGTAACCAAAGAATATTTAGGCCAAGGTGAAAGGCTCGTTAATTACAGAGTCTGAAAGCAAAGAAATGCTAATTCATAGTTTAGCAATACCGCCCTATTTTCGAAACCACAATTGTGAAGTACTTTATCTGGTCGTATACAGACTTGTCAACAATCAAGCGCGTCAAGCTGTATATTCAAGCAAGCCAAGCTAAGGTTTAGTAATTAATAATTAATTAAGCTGCGTAAAGTTAGCTTAATTAATAAGCTTAATAAGCTTAATTAGTAACGTAAGGCTACTAGGTTTGCGGTAGTAGCAAGGCCACGATAATTTTCTAGTATTAAGAGTTAAGTAATAATATAAAAAAATCCTATAACAACGCTATGTATATAGGGCTTAAAATAAAACTACTACTACTACAATTTAAATACTATTAAAAAAACTTAATACTAAGAATAGTTATAATATAGCTAATACTACCTATTTGTATAGCCTTAAAAACGCTATAACTATTAAGCTTATTAATCAAGCTAATCAAGCCGCCTGATTTTACCTCATCAAGCCAATCCAAGCTGTCTTTTTGGCCGATAGATCAAGCCAATCAAGCTGGGGTACCCCAGCTTGATTGGCTTGATTGTTGACATCTCTGGTCGTATAGACGATCGATTGTATTTTAATTAGGCAATGAAGTCATTGCAATTTGTACAGGGCATGTGGGTGTAGTCAGCGGCTCTAGCAGCATCGCCTTAAGCATAGTTCCTAGAGATTGTTTCGATTGTCGATAGATGTGTATGCTCGCTGATTTGACGAGTGTGGAGATCTAAATTAATAGAGTCAGCGAACGAACCTCGTGACTCTGTGATGTTACAGTATCATTGTACCGACAGGATTTGGTATGATTACGATGGGCTAGCAGGTCTTGGGTGAGCTCAGACGAGTCTGGAGTTCATGTCCCTCTCAATGTCAATCAAATCTCTGAATTCCATACCCAGTATTTCAATATACCTCTAGAGCTGCTCATCCTTCTAGTGCTGCGACTCCAGCATGTCTTACAATTATAAGATAGTGGCTGTGTTGTCTTCTGTGTGGTATCTGTTCTTCCGATTAGGCTCTCTAGCACACGCTCAATATTGGTGTATCACTGTTGCAGATGTCCCAGTTCTGGTGCAGGCTTCTTGGGCCGGTGCCAGGAGCGAAAGTGATATATGAGTGGGCGAAAGGATATAGGGATCATTGAAACAATGAGAGGCAGAGATGGAAGCCAAAGATTCCATATTGGGGAGCTGGGACTGAACTTTGAAGGCGGAGTTGACAACGTGCATAGTGTGACGATGTGGACAACTGATTTGTACGGTATCCAGGAGGCGATGTGTAAACAAAACTGCACTTGAACTAGAAGGAAAGAAGCAAATTTATCGTGTGCATGTCTGCCGTACGTGGAGGAGGGAGAGACTAACACTACGGCACAAAATTGTTTACAGTAGAATAGTGACCTAGGGGTTTACTATACAGGTGTAAACTGCCCACGTGTATCCTAGTAAATAGGTTTAAAGTAGTAGTTTACTTTTATAGTAGGGGTTTAAATTAAGTATAAAAAGCAGTTTTATTTCTATTATACGCTATAATACCTAACTAAGACTAAAAGGGGTAGAGAAGATTAGCTTTACGCTATAAGCATATATAACATTAAAATAAGTCATGATATTTCGACTAATAGGAGGTGGTGACAGAGGTGGCGGTAGAGGTGGTAGTGGAGGTGGTGGTGGAGGTAGAGGTGGTAAAGAAGATTAAAGAAAGGAGAGGTAAAATACTTGAATAGTTAGTAGGAAACTAGTTATTACTACGTAATACTAGTAAATTAATAGAAGTAGAAATAAAAGTAGTTTACTTTTATAGAATATATAGTATAGTAAACTATATTTAGGGTTACTTCTTCTACCTAAACTACTTCTTAGTCTACTTTAGATAAATATAGCTACTGTAAACCAGTTTTGTACCGTAGTGCAACATAGGGATGTTCAACAAGATCATTACTGTCGAGTAGCTACAGAGAAGAAGGCGCAAGTCAAAGTCAAGAATAATCTATCATCTGGTCAAGAATGCTCCCAGCTGACTGAAATCTAGCCTGTAACATGTACCGGTAAAAGAGACAGTTAAGTAGGTTGTTAGGCAATTTACTTGACAGTGCAGTGAATGAGAATCATTTGCATGGAATGGAAGGTGTGAAAACACAGGAAGTTGGGCTGTAGATGCTAACTATACATTATATTCTTACCTTATTGTATTATGTTTCAAATCTATAATGGTATCATTAGGTATAGACGTTTGTTTAATGAGACACAAGAAACAATGTCGGAAAAAGAAAGGGCCGATATGTTCGCAGGTCGATCCTCTATACTTAAAGGGGCTCTAGCGTGTCCGCCCCTGTCCACCGCCGGGCCCGCCAACGTCATTTCTTAATCAAGGAATTGGGGCGGCGACACTAAGAATACCAGATAGCATGGCTAATGTGTTCATGTGTTAGGGGCAGTGGGATGCAACTGGACATAGCCGTCTCTCCTCTGCCACACATATGCATTTTGCCGTTTGGAGTAGGAAAAAACCCTGTTATCATCCAAGTCTATTTATCGCTGCCACTGACTCTTGAGACACTCCTCACCCGCACTCTCACTTACATCTGGAGACTGGAGTGATAACCATAGTGAGGATAACGTTATGGCGCTGCACGAGCAATACATACTGCGCGTCACCGCAGGCGCAACCTACGACACGGCAAAACACCAAGAGGTCCTGGTCAACACGGAGAAGCCAGTCAACATCAACTCCGATCTCATTGATGCGCAGCTACACGTTCGTATCAGAGACTATCGCGGTATGTACAGGAACAGGTCGTCTCCGCTTTGTCCTCTAGTGGTGCGCTTTGTTGAGCATAGACAGGCCTACCCAAAGGCTCGCCCTCGACCTCTCCCTATTTCGCCTCCCCACAACATCCCTACGATCGTTACTCGATATCTTTCTCCTTCATTCCTAAACAAGACATCGCCGGCGACAAACTTGTCTTTGGCAATGACTTTGAAAACCCCATCCGCGACCGTCTGCCTCCACTGTTCGACAAAGCTTTTGGCATCGTCAAGTGGTGGATAGATCCGGGTCTGGACGGCGATGTGTATGGTGACAAGCCCTATCTGTATGGTGCCTTGTTGAGCAGCATCAATGTTCTGCGGATAGGCGGGAAGAAGGAGGAGAATGAACAGGACCAGGACAAGGGCACCGCCGTGGTCTACGAAGAAGGCGCCTTTGAGTCTGGTGCAAACGTTCGTGCTGCGAAGCGCATGCCCGAGCGAAGCGGCGCACGCCAGAAGTTTTTTCTGACAGAGCAGAATCGCAAAGATTTTACCTTTGAAGCTGGCCGCGAGTACCAGTGCGACTTCTTCAACCCGTACTTAGACTTCAACGAATTCGCGCTGAAGATTGGGTACGGACTACCTAACATCTCCATCCTCGGACACTGGGATGGACAGCCGCTACGGTATGTCTGAGCCCCTCCTTCCTGTTGCCTTTCTTGTTTGTCCTGCATGCATGAATTGATGCTATCTGTTTGTGGGATGGGAGCTGACCAAGGCGCATTCTGGCTAACCAGAACACACACCCTCAGATACGTTCTCAAGAACCGCGACACAGACAGGGAACTTTTCGTCGTGGTGATTGAATTGCTACCTAATGAGACAGCAAGGGAGCAAGGCGTGGAAGACGCGGAGGGGAAGCCGAATGAGATACATGGACAGCACACAGACAAGGCGAGTGAAGAAGATGATGGCGAGTTGGATTGAGCGAATGCATGGGATCTCGAATGGGAGCTTGTGTGCATCAGCGAGGCGTTGGTGGCCTGTATAGATAGACAGCGTTATGCCAAGTATGGATACCCGACGTGACCAAGTCCCAATACAAGGCGTTGTCCATGGAGTCGTCTGTCCCCACGGGGAAACTTGTAAGCGAAGTCCTAGCTACTTGAGCATGTCCACTGTCCACTGTCATCGGTAAGGGCGTCGAGTAGAAGAAGACGAGACAAGACTAGAGGCAGAAGCTCAGACCTCCGACATTCGGCGTGCGGGCTGTCAGTATACCCGTAGACAACAGCTGTGCAACACCAAAAAAATAAAAATAAAAATCATCGGCATTGAGCAAAGCCAGGGTGCAACACAGTCTTGTCGGAGAACGTGACACCTTCAACATGGCAGCACGTACATTAAGGATAGGTAAGAAAATGCCACCTTCCCACCAGTTCCTTGTCTCTGCATGCGTTTCGAAAGAAAGCATTCGTGTGTCATTCAATCGTCAATTCTGACTCGATGTCATCACTCTTCTTCGGTGCAGTCTGAGCTATGGTACTTCCACTGCATGCTTCGCGCTATCTAACACAAGACTCGTGCAGGCCTCATCCCCGGTGATGGTATTGGCCGCGAAGTCATCCCCGCCGGTCGCCGCATCCTCGAAGCCCTGCCTTCGTCCTTTGGCCTCAAGTTCTCCTTCACACACCACTCGGCTGGCTGGGAGACGTTCCAAAAGACGGGCGCCGCACTGCCCGAAGAGACGGTCGCAGCGCTCAAGTCAGAGTGTGATGGAGCTCTCTTTGGCGCCGTCAGCTCGCCCACGGTCCAAACCAAAGGCTATTCCTCCCCGATCGTCGCCCTGCGCAAGAAGATGAAGCTCTACGCCAACGTCCGCCCCGTCAAGAGCGTCGCCGGCGCAAAGAATCCCGTTGACCTTGTCATCGTACGCGAAAACACGGAAGATCTCTATGTCAAGGAGGAGAAGACATACACGGCCGCCGACGGCTCCAAGATCGCCGAGGCCATCAAGCGCATCAGCGAGACTGCGTCGTTCAACATCTCCGAAATGGCTGGCGACATTGCACTCCGCCGCCAACGCGTCCGTGATGCTGGAACAACGTCTCTACACACGCGCCCCATGGTTACAATCACACACAAGAGCAACGTGCTCTCGCAGACCGACGGTCTCTTCCGCGAAACGGCGCGCCGTTCCCTTGAAAACGCAAAATACAAGGGCCTGACCATTGAAGAGCAAATCGTAGACTCGATGGTGTACAAGCTCTTCCGCCAGCCACAAGATTACGACGTCATCGTCGCACCGAATCTCTATGGCGACATCCTCTCCGATGGCGCGGCTGCCCTTGTCGGAAGTCTAGGCCTTGTGCCCAGCGCCAATGTAGGCAAGGGTTTTGTCATTGGTGAGCCGTGCCACGGATCTGCGCCTGATATTGAGGGTCAGGGTATTGCGAATCCCATCGCAACGATTAGGAGCACGGCACTCATGCTGGAATTCATCGGCCAGGAGGAAGCCGCAGCCAAGATTTATGAGGCAGTTGATGCGAATCTGGCTGAAGGCCGATTACTAAGTCCCGATCTTGGGGGAAAGGCCAAGACGGAGGAGATCATCGAGGATATCTGCAAGAGGCTATAGATTATAGGCTGTCAAAGGCTTGCAGGTGGGGATGATGACAGTAGAAATGATATAGGCCGGGGACCATGAAGTAGAGTGTGATTCTTCAATTATCAATTTTTCACTACGCATGAAATCGCTTGTGAGGCATACTTCTTGCAATCTTGAAGAAACGCTTATTCGTCGAATCGCCGTATAGGATACCAAAAACTCCCTTCACCAGCTGCTGAGGCCCTTCATACCTTTGTAAATGCATCAATTTTGACACGCTGATAAAATGAGACATGTCCAAATGTCTCCCAGTACTGCGCCAATCGATCATGTGAAATCAAAATAAGCTGCGAGGTGATGTAGTTATCTGTTGTTGTACATGTCAACCCCGTGTCCAAGACGCAGTGGTCCAGCAAGAAGATTACTCACCATCTCTAAAACCCCTAGCCGCAATATGTCCCACGCTCTTGACGATCCTCGCTCCCTTGAAGATATCCTCCCTCGCCACACGCAACAAACCGGCTGGGCCGATATCTGGTGCAATGAAAGTGTATTCTCCACGCGGAATATTCGGGTCACCCGTTAGCTTGACCGCCTCGATGCGCCCGCGATAGATACTCTCGTCTTCCTGCCCGGCAGCACTAGAATCTACAGGGCCAGCCCCAGTCGACGACGCCCTTTGAAGATCTCCATGCAGCGTCATAACACTGTCTTCCAAATCGCTTGCACTCTGCTCACCATCCTCCAGCTCTGGATCTTGATCAGAATAAGCAGAGTCTGCATCAGTATCTGCATCCGTTGGCGCAGTGCTCCAGCTTTCCCCACTACTCACGCTGCCGTCACGCTCACGTGCGCGCAACGCCCATTCCGCACGCTCTGGTAAAGGATGCGGATCATCAGGCTGCATAACGACGAGGAACTCGCATCCATGACCTGCGTAATCACCGCACCAAATGCCTTGCCAGGGTTTCTGGGCGGTAGGTGTGTACACCGAAGGAGGGAGAGTAGCAAACGTTGTGATGTCCTCGCCGATTCGCATGCTCACGCCCAAGGGCCGGGTTGAGAACTCCATCCAGCGGCGTATACGAAATGTGGACGTGGAGAGGGCACTGAAGGAATTCGGCTTTTGCCCGGGCTGGGTGAATCCCGAGGGTGGCGGGTCATTGCGAGTTCGCTGGGCACTGGGGAGGGTAAGCGGAGGCCAGACGGGTGTTGCTTCGCTTGTTATAGCTGGGGGCCAGGGCCGCGTAAGTATAAGCCTGGAGTAAATATTCGCACTTTGCCGACTGAAGCCATCGCTTGTGGAACTCGAAGTGTCCATTGGGATTTCCTTTTGCAGTTTCACGCCCATGTTTCCGATCGCGGCAGCATAGGCAGAAAGGTTGAGACGTACAACAGCGCTGTTGAGATCTAGTTGCACACGCGGGTTGAATGTGTGGATAATGGCATCAGGATTATACTCCCACGTCTGAAATGTCGGTTGGCGACGCTCAGCAACCAGTGCATAGGCTTCTATTGAGTTGAGCCGATGGTCGTAGCGTGCCACTATAAGTTTTCCCGTGTGAGGCGTGTCGGCGAACCAGAGTTTTTGGCGAACAAGAAACCAGTAGGGATGATGTTGGCTGTACAGTTGGCGCCATGTTAGGGATGCCGGGCAGATTATAGACGGGGATTGGGCGTGGACGAATGCTTGCCAGAGAATATCTTGCGTGGAGTGAGAGTGCAGGGCATGACAGACGAGGGATATAGAGAGAAGATCGTATAGGTCAAGATGAGATAATATGTGATGGACAAGTTCAGAGGGGAGGGCGAGGAGCGGTGAAGGCTTGGAAGCCATTCAGTCGTCTCTGTCTTAGAAGGCTTCGGAGAATCGTTGATCAGTGGCCGGTGATTAATACGCTGACTGGGCGTGGGCGATCTATTCCCCGTATATCTAGACAGAAAGATATTGGCAAGTCTCTGCACACGTTTGGAGTGGCGCAACCAGATGTACCAATTTCTTCACCCTTTGCACCACGATCAATTCACCTTACTCCTTCTCTTGAACACAGCCTATGCTTTAGCTTCCGATACTCGCAAACCAGTCTGAACCAGGCTGAAAACTGTACGCAAGAGTAGCCGGTGATCCCGTTGTCGTCTTTGCTCTATTGGGTCCCGCGATGACACCTTCCCACTCTTGCCTAGCCCCGCCAAAGTCTTAGGGCAGATTGGTGCCTACGGGCAACGAATACGACGCCGTTGAGCACGGTCAAGCTACTCTCACCAATCTTGTAGTTGGCGAGGGGCCTGCTTATTTTGGGGCCGATATCAAGGTTGGACGTCGTGGTGATGCCGCGACTGCGATATCGGAAGATGCGAACAAGATTGAAGACGGCGTCGAACAGACCAGGAGTCGAGACCTGGAGAGGCGGACAATTTCACAGATGGTTGGCTTGGTAACAGATGAGTAAGGAAAGACGACAAAGACTTCGTTAAACTTAGGTATCTGGTGGGTGCAGATTGATGAGGGGGATTTACGCATCGGACTCTGAACGTTTGATGATGACGGATGTGACGCGTGACATGGTCGATGCGTTAACGTGATCCACCACCGAGCGCCCACCCCCACCGAGCGCCCACCAACACCAAAATCCACCACCCACTAAATGAGGATATTGCGCCACCCACAATAGCTATTATCACAAGATTTCTTAGAGTCGCGATTATTAGATCTATTAGAGTAGATTAAATATTTTAGATTATGTAAGCAGCTTTTTAGGGGGTCTAATTAGGCGCCCACGCTGTAAAGTTGCCTCTACTACTATATCCTCTTCTACTAGCTCCTTATTAACCACCTTAGCTAGTATAATAGTAGGAGGCTTAAGGATTTACCTCTTACCTATTTAGGACGTTTTAATATTATTTTAGAGTTGCTTTTCTAGTTGCTTAGTAGTTTTCTACTTGTCACGTGTAGTAGCTTTTTAGGCAGCTTTCTCCTCCTACTCCTTCTTAGTAATTACTTAATTTAGGCAACACTCCTCTATAAGTTAAGCTTTAGTAAGCTTCTATTACTTATAAAGCTTAATTACCTTGCTTTTTTAGTGTTATAGCTCCTGTTCTTTAAGGTTCTTTTACTCCTAGAGCTTAAACACTTGCTCTACCTTTAATAGTAAAATAAATTAGGCACTACTACTATAATTATTATTAGGGGGTAATAATAGAGGTTTACTACGCTTCCTACGCTTCTTCTTATTAGCTAGGGCAGCCCTTAGGTGTTTATTTTTATAGTTAAGTAGAGTATTTCTTACTAATATAGTATAGATTATCTAGCTAAGCTTCTTTAACTATTTATTATAGATATTAATTATAGTATTATAGAGTAACTACTCTATCTTTCTTTAATTACTTGCACTTAATATTAAGGTTATACTATTACTTAAAGAAGGCTAGTTACTATTATTTATAGGTGCTTTAAACCTTAAAAGGATAATATTAGGGTTAAGTAGTAAGATGCCTGTTACTTTAAAAGCTATTAATATTAGCTTTTCCTTAAAGGTATTGCTCTATGCAGTATTAAATAACTAGTAGAAATCCCTCTTAGTAATACTTGTAAGCCCTTAGGAGCTATCTAGAAAACTAGATAGTTAAGCTTTATATAAAGCTGCAAAGGGAGCAAATACTATAATATTAAGTAGCTAAAGGGTGTAAGTACTATAAGGGGGATATATTATAAGTAGGATCTTATATTTATTATAGTACTTAATAAACTCTATTATTATATAAGATCTATAGCTATTAAGGATAAGGAGCTAGTATAAAGTATAAGCTTTAGCTTTTGTCTCACAATTAAACACCTCCTTAAGCTAGGATACCCCTAGGGTGTGGCTTATCTACCTACTTAGTAATCCTATAAAGAAAGCTTAGTATTATAATAGGTTAAAATCTTATAACTAGGTATCCTATAGAGCTCTAGATTAGGACTAATAAATAAGGGCAGGGGTAAGAGTAGTACTATTAGCGCATATGCAAGCTATAGTAGTAATCTACTCCCTATTACTATCCTAGAGTATAGCTCTAATCTTTCTCTACTTATAGGCGCTCTTATTAAACACACGTTTAGTTTTTAATAGTACTCTAATAAGAAAACCCTTCTTATCTATATTATAGATATACTAACTCTTAATATTATATTACTCTATTTTTTAGTGTAAAAGCTTAAAGTATAAGCTATACTTAAAGGTAGAATTAGCTTTAAAGCAGTTGTAATTAAGCCTAGTAGCTTAATAGGAGATAAGATTAATATTATAGTAGTTAATAAAGCGCTACACCTAATTTTTACCTACTAGATTCCCTATTATTTTAGTTATAAAATTTTAAATAATAGTCTATATAAGGGGTAATCCTTGCCTATAAAGCTCTGTAATATACTTTATAAGCTTACTTTCTTATATAGTGTTAAGTATTTAACTATTTAGTAGAGTAGTAGTGCGTACCTACTAAATTTTCTAGTAGCGTCTAGATAAGGTTAACTATAAGCAACTATACTTTTCTACTATTTCTAAGTATGTAAAATCTTCTCTAAGAGTTAAGGATTTAATTGCTGCAAGCGCGTTGTTAATAGGTGCTATAGTTGTTAAGAAATTTAGTGTTGAAAATTTGGTGATTTTGGTGTTGGTGGGCGCTCGGTGGGGGTGGGCGCTCGGTGGTGGATCACGTTACCGTAGCTGTCGTTCGTTAGCGTGAAGCGGCGCCGATGATGTGGACAATGTTTAACCGCACCTCATCCCATCCGTGACACGCGACACACCATAAGCACCTACCTCCGAACCCAATCTTGAGTCTTCTCGCGTCCTCGTTCACTTCCTTGCACTGCTTACATATCGATATCCCGGCTTATTCTTGTCCATGTTTAGACTTGCAGTTTTGGAAGTGCAGACCAACGTCAGAAGAAAGCGAGGGTATGAACGGACAATACAAGCAGGTTGTACCGCTACGATGAACCCCTGAAGCTCCTGCAAAAACTGCCTGGGAGAGCGTAAGGCACTCCAAAGACTACTGGAAAAAAAAAGAATGGCGGCTCGCAGAGCGCTTCCTTTTGCTTCCGCTTACTTCTACGATCAGCCGATTTCTTTTCAGTGTCAAGAAGAATCCCCACGCTCAGTCAATCTTGACATAAGAAACACATTTTTTTATGAAATATCAGCATTCAAAAGATTCAAAGTTTATCGTCTAAGACGTTGCAATGATCAGGCTCCTCCTCACCCAGGTCAGCTCCAGTGCCTAACCTAACACCATCTTCTTTCCCCATCATTCAGTGGTCCAGATGTATCGGACATCCAAAGCAGCCAAAATTCAGATTCACAGCCCGTGACAACAGAAAACTTGTAGCTCATCCCGAATCCCCCTTCAGAACTGTGGTATACACAGGATCGATTGCATGTTCTCCTGTCGTTCAAACTGGGTTGGAGATGATCGCACAACTACACTCCTACTCGCGGATAAGATACGACCGACTATGATTGCCCATTGTCATTATCATCCTCATCACCGAATAACGAATCATGATCCTCTTCATCACCGAATAACGAATCATGATCCTCCTCGCGCTCCCGTTCAGCCTCCTGAAGAAGCCCTGGGACTTCGACAGCCTTATCTTTAGTAACCAGGTCTTTCTTGAGGATCCAAACGATCCTATCAACAGTCTTTTCATGACCGACATCTCGCAAGGAAAACCCAATGTCAAAGTTGCCAACAAAGGAAACTAAGGGGTCTTTGATGGCTTTCTCGGCCATTTGCCTTAATGAAACTTTGGAATCGTTGGGCGCAGGACTGGCAGATGGGGTATAGACCTGCTGAGGCTCGACAGTGGCTTGCACATTCGTCATTGTGACCTGGGATGGCTGTGATAGAGGCTTATGAGGGGCCTTCTGAACTGGGACTTGGACATGAGGAATAGCACTCATGTCGGCCATCTGAGGCGCCTGACTGGCGTGTTCAGCTGGTGTTACAGCTGCTGATGTTGGTGCTGGCAGACTATCACCAACATGGTTAGAGGGGCCCGCAGCAACAGAGGATGATGATCCGTCATCACTCAATTCACGTGAATGCTCCTTCTCTGGACCTTTCCGGGTAACTTTTGCAAGTGCGCAGTCTTGAGTTTGATCCTTCTGGGCAGCTCTCGCACGTTTCCGCTCTGCCTGGTCATAGACAGTCTGCACATTTTGGAGCACAGCGTCGACTGCGTTCCGTTTCTTGGCCGCAGGTCCCTCTTTCTCTGAGATCCTGTGGTCGTACCAATCGATCCAGTCTTTGTGAGCTGGGTGGAGTTGACCAGTCTCGATCAATCTCTCCATCTTCACCCTGAAAAGGGTCATCTCCTTCAAGATGGAGCACTTCTTTGCATCTCGGTCTAGACCTTGTGTGCAACATCTCTGCAGTGTGGGGAGCTTGTGTGCACAGAGGTACTTGCCATCTGCTCTTCGAGCAGCTTTTTCTATGCTTTCGTCGCGCGGGAAATCTGGTTTTTTGCATGTTTTATCCATAGGATGTGTCCATGCGTCTCGGATCCTTTGTGAGTCTGACATTTGCTGTCGCCAGTATTGAATCTCGTCCGCGCTGTCCATATTTGTTGTCCGAGTTGGAAGCTGCGGCCCGATGGCATCTGGAGTCTCTGGAATTGGTGCCGCTTCGAGAGCCGGTGATGGGGAACGAGGAGTAGCTTTGGTCGCCGCTCGCCTAGAGTTTCTCTGCTTGTTGGCCTTCTCCCACATCTCCAGCCTCGTCTGCCAGTCCGTAGGTTGTACTTTATTGTCCTTCTTCTTGCTTAACCATTTATCAATCGTCGACTTTTGGACGGCATAAACTTTCTTCCTGCTTTCCTCGCCGGCTTGCTTGCGCTTCCAACCATCCAGCTTCACCCATGACGGTGTCTTTTTATCACCATCTGGGTTCTTGAATAGCCACCAAGCTTCCACCTCGTCTTTTACGGCTTCCCACTCTGCCTTTGCGGTGTCAATGCGCTCAGCACGGAGTCGTTTTCTTACGCGTTGCTCCTCACTTTCTTCGCCTGTGGAATTCTTCCGCTTAGTGCCCTGGGAATCCGCAACTCGAGTGACTACTGGCGCAGTAACCTGAGGTACTACCGGGACTGCTATGGTTGACATGATCTCATCGCCATCAATGACGACTGACATTCCCTCTTCAGAGCCGGCAATTTCATCGAATGCCCCAGTACCCAGAGCTGTCTGCGTACTCTTCGGTGTCTCACGGATGCACTGGTTCTTGTGGGATGTGAGCTGCCCTGGGCCGCAGGCGCGCTTTCCGAGGACCACGGCGGGCGAGCTGATGTGCTTCGATGGATCCATCACTACTTCGGCTCGGGTAGGGATGAGCAGAGAAGAAAATGCAAGTAGTGGCTGTGGTGAGGCTGGCCTCTAGTCAAGATCTTGGTTGGGAGAATGAGTTGAGGTTGAAGTCTTTGCAAGGCTGATTGAGGTGGAAGGAACAGTGTTTGGCTCACATTCGGCTTTTGATACTGAAGATCGCGTTGTGAAAGGACGAAATTCGCCAAGGTGCAGGCTCCTTGTGAATCATCTCTGCCTGAAAACACTGTTTACTTCTAATGTTAGACAGAATCAGTTAAACAGGATTAGTTCGCTGTGTCTGAACGAAACGTTTGTAAATGGCGGCTTGGAGCGATGAAAGCAGACGTGGTTGGTCGGTCACTAGTATACGTTGAGCATGATAGAGGACCCGAAGAAGAACGATATTGAGCGTGCAACTCTCAGTAAAATTGTCTTTGTAGGATCGGCGACTTAGGAGCTTATAGCGCACACACAACGAGAGTATAATATAACGGCATGAAGTAATCCGAACAGCGACTTCTGAGGTCAACATTCGTGATATATAACTCAAGAATTCAAGATGCCCAGAGTCACCTTGTGTATCATTTCGAGCAAAAGTTCAATCAACAAACTGTTTGCTTGACGAAATCAAACGGCTATTTGGTGCGGTTCACTGGTATTGGGCAAAGTACGCGACCTTGGTGTGATTAAAAGCACGAGACAGGCCCGATCAAAGAAAATGGCCGTCCAGCAAAGCCATAGTTGTTGACTACCAATGCGGTATCACTACAAGAGGTGAAAGTGCATGTTGAAACAATGGGGATTGATATGGTAGCTTTTTTTACCATCGAAGTGGCAGCTATAGGACCTACATCTACCAGAATGATACCAGTGCTATCAGAGAACAATGTGTGATCCATCCGTAGTAATCATGGAGAATCGTCGGTGGAATGGGTGATCATGACGACCACTTTGGGCAAGCGTGTATGATATCGACTAACAAAGCTCAGAAGAATGAATCTTCGTGATAGTTACTGCTAAAAAGGCAAATACCGCAACGAAGTTCCATGACATAGGTAAGCAAGAGCCGCCAGCAATTATGTACAGCGTGTGTAAAGACTGTAGTACCATAAACCACCTAAATAATTTTCTAGGCACACAATACGATCGTGCAAATCGAAGTATCGCCCGTGTGTTAAAATGCTATAGGTACTGTATGAGGACAGGATGCATAAGATTACCGTGCCCGCGCGCGTGATAGCCGTGTTCGCGTAATTGCTACCCTAATACTAGAACTAACATTTAGCTAATATCTCCTATATATAATATTATACCTAATATTATACCTAATATTATACCTAATATTATACCTAATATTATACCTAATATTATACCTAATATTATACCTAATATTATACCTAATATTATACCTAATATTATACCTAATATTGTACCTAATATTATACCTAATATTATACCTAATATTAATCTAATAGATATACTAATTATATTTTTAAAATTACTACTATTTAGAGTATAAATTAACTATACTTAAGTTGCTATATAGTATAGTATTAATTAGTATATACTTAGTTAAAGATAGAATTGTTAGGACGTAGGGCTGCGCTAGCCTAGAAGGCCCAAACATGGGCTAGGGTGGCCTAAGCTAGACAGACTACGTGATTATAGGTAGTATAAATACCCGTAAGAATTAATACACATAGTATCAATTTGTTTGATATTTAATTAACACCTATTGTCCTAATCTACTACTACACCTCTATCCTACACTATAACGTCTTATAGTAGTAGTATATACTAATATAACTATATTACTACTAAGTATTATATACTAGGCTAGTTATAGTAATATTTAAGAGTACTAGTGTGCTATAGCATAGAGGGTTTAGGTGTAAATAAGGTTTAACCTAAGTTAGATAGGTTAAAACCTAAATTAGATAGATTAGACGTTTAAAGGAGGGGAGGATTATAGGATAGATTATTAGGTAACTTAACACTTAATTCCTTAATATATCTTATTAATAGAAATTTCTTCTCCTTAATTCTTCTTTTAATATTAGTTAGTTATTATACATTATCTACTACTATATCTATACCCTTCTCTATCTCTATATTTAAATAGGTTAGTCTCCTTATTAGTGTACTAGATATATAATATTAAGCTATTAAATACCCTAGTTTATATAATTTTAATACAATTAGAATAGAGTAATAATAATATTAGGTTAGCTTCGCTTAAGTAAGTATTCAATAAGTATACTTAAGTAAAAGCTAGAGTTAAGTATTAATTAATTAATCCTAGATAGGTATGTATCCTAGTTAACTTTAAAGTTTCTAAACTATTACTAACCCTAATATATACTACCTTTAATATTACTACTATATTTAACTTATACTTTATAGCTACTTAATATAGTTTGTATTTTATTACTAAGTACTACTTATACGTATATATTTAATATCTACCTTCTTATAACCTAGGGACTACTAAACTATTAAGGAGAGTAACCTATCTTAACAAGGAGAAGGAAGAAGGCTAGGATAAGGTAGTAGATAACTTATAGCAATTAACTTAGTTTTACAAGAAGAATTAAGGAGAAGAAATTTCTACTAATAAGAGGTATTAAAGTCTTAAGTGTTAAGAGGTCTCCTATTCTATCCTATAATCCTCCCCTTCTTTATACCTTTAACCTATCTATTTTAGGTTTAAACTATGTTTACACCTATATCCTTAATACTATAGCACACTACTTTTACTAAAAATGGTGGACTTCTACTCTTTATTTAAGCTAGCCTAGAACTTATTCTTTAGTAAGAATAATATAAGATTATTATTTTTAAGTACGTAAGATATAACTTATATATATTAAAAACGTACCTAAAAAGTTCTAAATACTACTAAAATATGTACTAATATTGATCTTTAGGCGCCTTACTATACGTAGTAATATTACCTAGTATTCTATTAATAACCTTATTAGTACAGGAAGGATATAAGACGTTACAGTGGGAGATAGAGGTTTAGTAATAGATTAGGACAATAGGTGTTAATTAAATATCAAACAAATTGATACCATATGTATCAATTCTCACGAGTATTTATACTGCCCATGATCACGTAATCTGTCTAGCTTGGGCCACTCTGGCCCATGCTCGGGTCAGCAGGGTCAGCGGAGCCTTGTGTCCTAACAAAGGATAGTAACTAGATTATAGAGCATCTTAATCTAATTAACAGATCTAAACCCTAATTAATATCCTTAATCTATACCCCTAGCAAATCTATAATCTAATCTAATGCTAGCTTACTACTAAGTACCTAATAGAAAAAGAAGCTCTAGTAAGGAAGGTTTACTAATTATACACCTTCTAGTAAGGGTTGTCAGGCCATAGCGTGCGCGCGCATAGTAGGACTATAGGGTATGGTGTGCCCTGCGCCCATATATACTATTCTATTCGTGAATAATCTATATTCATAGATTCTACGCACGTTTTTAAAGGTTGTTTAGCGCAGTGGGAATAGACACCATGTCCTAATAAGGGTAGCTAAAGCTCTATTTATATAAGTCCTATTATAGTAGATATACTCTAATAATCTAATACCTAAATTATTCCTAAGCTTAGTAATCTAAATTTCTACACTTATTAATAATTACTTAGAAAGGGTAAAGGTAATTAAAGCTACTCTACTTGTACTTTAGGTATCTAATAGTCTAACGTACCCTATAGGTGAGTTAGACACACAGGTAAGTTAGACACTCTACTAAGACCCTACTAAAACTACAACTCTCTATAGACTATTATAGCACACTCTAGGTCTATATAGGATAAAACTATATTAATTACTTTTCTATAGCTACTTCTACCTTATTCTTACACGTGCGTAAGTTATATCCTACCTTATAGCACTCTTTATAGTATCTTTAGCCTACCTTACCTCTATTAGTGTATACCCTCTTATTTATTTTCTTTCTATTACTCTACACCCTAAACTCCTTTAGAGTAGTTAAGCGTAGCCTATCCTTAGCTATAAGGGTATCCTTTACCTAAATCTACTTCCTGTTTTATAACTTTTATTATATAGAGGCCCTATTAGCTACTTAAAGCTTAGTAATCTACTTTTAGGCTAATACTAGCTTATATACTACTATAGCTATACTATTAGTAAGCTTTTTAAATACCTTAACTATAAAGGTTAGTAAGCTATCTATATATACTTAAATCCTTACTATTATAAGTATTTATTATAACCCTATTTTAAGGGTATTACTAGGGGTATATAACTACTAAGGCTTATTATTAAGAGGGAGGGGTAATAGAGTATATATATAGATATCAAGGTATAATATAACTAAATCTAGCATAAATAGGACTAATCTAGCGCCTCTAAACCCTCCTTAGATATTACTAGGAGTAATTACTATATTAAAGGCGCGTATAAAGTATAGTAGGAACTTAAGCTTTGATTAATTAATTAATTAATTAATGTTATTTAACGTCTATATAAAACCTCCTATAGGGTATAAAGATAGGTCAAGCTCTAGGCTTCTAGTAGTAACTTATATGCCTAAGTAACCTAGTTAGGGGGGTTACGCGCTTGCGGCTAGTTTATTTAGCCCTTCTACTAGTTAAAGGGACTTAGTAAGGGTATAGGCTTGCTAAAGTAAAAGATAATTTATATTTATAGGTAGTAAAAGCTACCTTTTCTTATATCTTTTAATACTAAGGAAAAAGTAGGAAATAGTAGGGAATAAGAGTGTAGATTTATAGAAAAAAGGAGAGGTAATAGGTATGCATGTGTGTGTGTTATTAATACCTTATAACGTGATCCACCACCAAGCGCCCACCCCCACCAAGCGCCTACTAACACCAAAATCACCAAATTTTCAACACTAAATTTCTTAACAACTATGGCACCTATTAACAACGCGCTTATAGCAATTAAATCCTTAACTCTTAGAGAAGATTTTATATACTTAGAAATAGTAGAAAAGTATAGTTGC